GTCTTTTACCTCTGTACCTTCATTTTATTTGAATGGACGAGTAAGTTAGATATCTGGCTGTTTGTATTGTGCTGATAGCTTAATGTAATGTAATTTATTGCTCTAGCTTAGGATGCAGATTCTCAATACACTTGCAGTTTTGAAATACAAGACAGTTTAACTTGGCCTGTGATTGTTCCATAAATTCCCAAAGGTGAAATGTAAGTCATTTATTGTGTTAATTTATAACCCTAATCCTTTCTCCGTTCCCATCAGACAAAATAAAATAAAATGTTTCTTTCCCCTTTCCCCATTCATGAAAATTATTTGGTAACATTTTTCTTAAGGCTGTGTTTTTAGTAATTTATAAACACATTTATAATACATGATAATGCATTCATAAAGCATTATAAACATGGCTATCAATTTTTATGAAAATGCATGACACGTTATAGCCATGTTTATTATTCATTATGTCTGCCTTGTTCAGCTCTCATCTATAATACACTAACTATGCATTAATAATGCAGTACAAAGCATCCTTAATGCTTATACTGACCATTATAATGCATCATGGAGGTATCTATAGTGCATTATAGATCACCTATCACCTATCAATGCTGCACCCATCGTAGCACAATGCACTACTCAGTACTCATGTGTTTGTGGCGATGCTGGAGTAAACAAACCTACTGAGCTGCCCATTGTATAAAAATATAGCATGTACAATTATGTATGGTACATATTACTTGATAATGATAATGAACAACCATTTTACTGGTTTGTGTATTTACTATACTGTTCTTGTATCGTTATTTAGACTATACCATATAGCCTAGGGGTGCAGTAGGCTATGTCATCTAGGTTTGTGTAAGTACACTCTACGATGTTATCACAGTGATGGATTTCTTAGCACTTATCCCTGTCATTATGCGACACATGACTGTATAGATTCTGGTAAGTGAATCTACACTCAATACATAATTTCTGCTTTATACCGGCTGCTGTGTAGTCATCATATCATTCCTGCTTTTACTATGTGTCAGTGTTATTTTAGGTTTTATGTGTTTTTGGTCTGATTTGATAGATTATTTGTTGCTTTATGTCTTTTTGGCTTATGAAGGTTAACAGGCAAGCTGTTCAGGCATTTGTGAAAGTTGTCTATATGTATCCATCCAACCATCCTTCATGTCCCTTATTCAGTACGAGGCTAAGTCTGCAGCCTGTGCTGAGAAACACAAGGTAAAAGGCAGGGAATGTCCTGGATGGGTAGCCAGTCCGTCACGGGACACAAAATAACTACCTATATGTAAAACATTGAGAATCGTTTCAAACATGATGCAAAAAGGAATCGGTGAGCAAAATGGCACAACATATCTTTGAATATCATTCTTATGTATAGATATGGATTTAGATATAGGTATTTTATTTAGGGAGATCAAACAAGTAACATGCGTTTCCAGCCACTTTAGACGTTCTGCATGTGCCAAAGAAGCAGGCTGCCCTTTATGGAATTAACTGAGCCGTGAAAGCACATTCACTTTGTTCTCGTTTAAAGGGACTGTCTCTCTTTCACTCACAAGGTATTTCTTACTTATTGATGCTAAGCATGTAAAAGTGCTGTTCTGCAACCTTAGACTGCTGTGGGAAGCAAGCTTTGCTTGTGTGCCAACCCTCAATTAGTTCTTTTGATGAGTTATTGATCTCTTGGGGTTTGCACTGCTCTGAAGCTTACAAACTTGTAACAGCGGCATAATTAAACCGATAGATTTTTGCATTTCAAGCTTTGGTTGACTTATCATTTGAAAAGAACTGATCTCATAAACACAAGTCTGTAATATCTAATTAGAATTTTTAATTTTCCGATAGCTTATCACAAGCTCTAAGGTGGAACATAGCTACTGACCATCATGGTCATGTGGGTCTTCACATTCATTATTCCCAGTAGTGTCATTTCCATTCCTTAGTTTGGACAGTAACTCTGGACCAGAGACCCATTTATGTCAGTCAGCCATACTGTAGGGTGCATGTTTATGTTTGCTATTTGCTCCTTCCTTTCCAAAACAATAATTTTCATTTGTTTACTTGCAACACTTTGTTTCCTTCAAATGCTCTAGAGTGAATCACCCAAATTTAGTTCAGTTCTGACTTTCCCGTGTCCCAAGACCCTGTAAGCCCCCGAGTCTTTTCCAAAGCCAGGTTACCTTGGTTAGTCATACCGCCCTGATATACTGACAGTTACCCCACACACACACTCTTACTCAGCTGCTCTCCTTGTATCGGTGGCCCAGGGCCAGCTGCAGAAGCAGACACAAGAGGTCCATCCTTAGAGCAGGTGAGGGGTGGAATGAAATCGATTTGGAGAAATTTATGTCTCTATTCTCCTTACACAAAGTGCCTTTGGTTTCTGGATTAATCACAGAGAGGAGGGGGAGGAAGAGGACATCCACCCTCCAAGCTGTAGGGGAGAAGGGGCAAGTCCTGATTTTGCCATATTCGATGTATCCGTGGGTCAACAAGGGAGGGGTTTATTAAGGGACATGCCGTAGATTCAAAACGTAGGAACATGCTTACCTGCAAAGACTGGACAGAGCAATGTAAGGGCACATCTTTGTCATGATGATGATAATAATAATAATTAATAATAAAAACTAGGCTTGAACTTGAACTAGGCGACTTTACAATCACATGCACAGAGGCTTAGCATGCTATGCCGCAGACACGCCTCAGCTGGAAGCCTTGAATTTGAAAATGAGAGTAAAATGGACCAATGAGGTGATGTCATACAATGAAGACTGTGATTGGTTAAATAAGTGAAACACAGGCCCCTCCCTTGTTGACCCAGGGAGGCGTTAAACTCTGCAAAATCACGATGTCAGGCAGAAGGGACTGAGCACAGGAAGGGATTGGCTGATGTCTCTGTTCTCATATGCCAAGCTTAAACTGTCTGTTCTGGTAGACCTAAAAGAGGACTGACCTCTGTGAAGGCCTCAGAACATCTGCTCTCACTCAGTTCATCAGCGTAAAAAATTACTTGATTAATTATGCTCAATGAAGCCCTAAATTTCCAGATCAGTCCTTGGTTCATTTTATATTATTTAGTTGTAGAGAACCACACGGGATGTCTGACTTTATATGCACTGCTTCATAGCTGTGTGAGGAGCAGCATGCAACAGCGTAACCATGGTACAGGCATTGTGGGCTCCAAATAAAAGCACACCCCCAGCATTTTTAAGGGTTATTTTCTACAGTTCTACCATGGACTTGGCAGGGCCTCACCGGTCATAGTCCAATGAAAATAGCTTTTAAAAAAAGTATTATTATTTATTATTTTTTAAAAGATATTTTTCAGTGAACTGTAATAAATGTCATTTCTGTTTGATTCCAGTCATTTTTATTTAATACACCCAATTGTGGGAGCTCAGCCGCAAACAGGGAGAGACGAGAGGTGCAGCAATGATGAACTCTCCCCCCCTCTGATTGTGTATCCGCTCAGTAACTGGCTGGAGCGCGGGCAGTAAGCGTGTGTCTGTTACTGTCTCTGAGTATTTCACCAATATAATATCTGTAGACCCTGTCATTACATGTCCATTCCATAGTTTAGGTAACTTATTTCACGTGTGGGTAAAAATATTTAGGCTTGCTGGTCTCGTCATAAAAGTGCAATGAAAAAGGAGCGGGGGGGAGGGGGGGGGTGCAGCTGTCACATCTGCCTCACTGAGGAGGATGTGAAGGGGACCCATTTGTCCTGAACGGCATTGGCCAATAAAAAAAAAATCACCTCCACTGACTGACCAAATTTAAAAACCTGCCAGATTACCATCACAGCACAGAGAGACTTGGGGGCAAAAATCTCCCATTTTTCTTAGTAAATAGAAATAAATCGGAAATAAAGGGAGCAGATCAATTAAGAGGGTTCATAAAAAGGAGACATATTTAACATTTTCTACTCTAAGTTGGGGTACAGATTGGTATTTTTTCAGTATTGGGGGGACATGACCCCCCCCGAAAAAAAAGAATACATGGTTACACCCATGCTGTGCAGTATATACACCCCTGTTTTACAAAATGTAGCAGTCAGTGTTCCATGAAAGTGTTATGGCTGCGTGGAAGGAGAGAAATCATCTGTGATGAGTGATTCTAGCACTGAGCTTGCATTGGTGACCTGTGTATGTTTAGGGCTATGAGAATGTATGTAAAGTCTCCACATATATGGCCTCAGGTGGATGTTTATTTCCTAAAAGGACTCAGTATATGATCTGATTAAACTTCTGTCCGCTATTAAGACCTTGAATGTCCAAATTAATGTCAGTAGTAGTGATTAGTATAAACCAACTCCTTAAAAGGTAGAAGCCCCATCGCTATGGAAATTGGAGAGAAACGATCATGTGAATGTGGGATGAGGGACCTCCAGGGATAATTTATTTTGCCGAAGTTGCTAAATGCTCTATCGGTCTGCAGCGAGATCTTCTTGCTCTTGATGGAAATAGGACAAGCACTGTTCTAAGGCCATGTTGTGTAGGTTAATTTGTCTTTGATAACTTGGTAACAATGCTATGATGCAGGGTGTTTAGAGGCATTGATTACTCGGTTGATTGACTACGTTGAACGTAAAATGTAAGGAATTTGAAATAGTGCATCATTTTTGCGATATACTTGTTTGATGGCTACATGTGCATGGAGGGGAGAAAACTACCTTTAGAGCTATTGGTAAAAAATGAGGAATTTATTACTAGTATAACTCAGCATGATGGCTGTGCTGGTGCTTAGGTTGAAAAGAAGCAGAATTTCCCTGTAATCATCACTCAACTGTGTTTTTGGCAGACAGGCAATGTAATGAATGCAACAGAAAAAAGAGAGGCTGCTGGGCTAAGAATTTGCAAAGCAGTCATGTGTGCATAGGTGAAATGGTGCCAAAATCACTCATTAAAAAATTACTATATGTGAAAACAAAATTTGAGTTTACAAAAGACTGTTCCATGTCATATTTGACTAATGACTTTCTTGTCTCCATTTTACAGAGGTACTGCTCAGAGTTCAAGTGTTTGACAACAGTGACCTTTCACCCCTGACGGACGCCACTGTAGAAATTTATGGGAACCAGTCTATCTTGGCATCAAGCAAGGCAGTCAGCGATGGGATAGTCGTGGTGAGGTTTCAGTACCACCCAGGAACATGGGTGATCGTCGCGGCATCCAAGACGGGTTACGTCACGAACTCTGCTCCCTGGCACGCCAACCGTATCCCCTGTGAGTAAAAAGTGCTGCTAATATATATATATATATATATATATATATATATATATATATATA